GGCGGATAGGGCTGGTGACCCCAGGAGAGCCTCCCGGGTGGGGTGCTGGAGGGCCGGTTGGCATCTGTGGCCCACGAGAACGTGACCTTGGCCCATGAAACGCGCGCGGTGAGTTAGAGAACTTAATGCCGCACTGTCTCCTCCGGCAGTGGCCCAGCGGGCATGTGGCCCACCGTGACACATAAAGGCCTGGACTCTGGGCGCTCGGCCTCACCGCACTCGGCAATTCACTTGTCCTCGGTGCTCAAGCAGGGAATTTAACTTGGCCCAATCGTACTATCAGCAGTCCACGAAAAGAAAGGCTACAACCCCTGTACTCGATGAGACGTGCGCGCTGCCAGGGCCTTTCGGGGCAGGACAGACCGCAACGGAGGACGATGGAAGATATGGAAAAAATAATCTATAACTTATCAAGGGTTCCTGAGGGAGGGCGGGCGGGCGGGGGATAGAGGGGGAGGAAATGGGGAGCTGATATCAGGGGCTCAAGTGGGAAGAGAATGCTTTGAAAATGATGATGGGGGCATATATGCAAATGCGCTTGACACATTGGAGGAATGTATGGATTGTGATAAGAGATGTAAGAACTCCCAATAAAAGTATTAAAAAAAAACCTATAAAGCTGTTTTACCCTACTCTCCTTGGGTAAAGGTTAAAGAGAGTCGCTGTGAGTTAAAGGTTAAAAGGTATGTGATGTGGCCCATTGTGAATGAATAGGGGATTTACATTAAAAAAACTTGTATGATTAGTGATTAGGAGGGAGGTGTTTGAGATGGATGCATTTTAAAAATCTGTAGGAAGTTTGTGCAAACAAGAGTGTAGAAATGCAGTTTGTCCAATTTCAGGGAGCTTAGGAACCCTGCTGAAGAGCTCATCCAGGGACCCCCGGGGTAAAAAGTGCTCATCCGGAGGGCCGATAACTGCTCACTGCCACCTGGGCAGTGCTGACTCAAAGTGGTCTTCTGGGGGTTTCAGACACTAACTGTTTCGGGAGAAGAAAACCCAGTCCTCCCGTGGAGCTGCTGGTGGCTTCGAACCGCAGACCATGCGATTACAGCCAACTCGTACCCACGACACCAGCAACTAACAAATGGCCTTTCAATTAGACAGCCACCTAAATGACACAGACACTCAGGCGGACTGCCCGTTGTAGGGCTCTGTAGGGCACTGCTCCTCTTCGGACATGAAGAAGATGAGCGTGAAGAAGGAAAGGTGAGCGGTCTTGGAAAATAACCACCAAGAAGGGAAGCAGTAGATAGATAGGAAGGAAACTGCTTGTGCAGCCTTCCCTCAGGAAGTGGATGCTGCAAAATGAATCGTTAGGGATATGATTGCGATGGGGCGGATGTTGCAGGTTTTGTGTGTCAAGTCAGCCTTATGCAGTCCTTTGTTGACCCTCACCACTGTTCCCGCCATCGAGTCCTGCTGACTCACAGTGGCCCCAGAGGACAGGATGGGACCGCCCCCGTGGATTTCTGAGACGGTAACTCTTTACAGGAGTAGAAAATCTCCTCTTTCTCCCGTAGAGCTGCTGGCGGTTTCTAACCACCGACCTTATGGTTAGCAGCCCAGCGAGTAAGCACTCCACTTCCAGGGCTTGAATCCTCACAGAGCGCTGCCTAATTCTGGGTAGTTTCACTCCTTCAATAACCTCAAATATATAAATCAGCAAACGCTGCCTTCTGCTCAGCTAACCAGTACTCTACTTTCACTTCGTGCTACCTAGCTTGAGTTAGGTATTCCTGCAATAAAACGCATGATCTTTTCTGCTCCAAACAAACAAACAAAAACCGTGACAGTATCTTCTTCCTCTTCATTTTTTTTCTTTCTCCAACACCCTCCCTCTTTAACTCATTGCCCCTTCCCTCTCTCTCAGCCCTGCCCCTGGTTTTCAAAGCCTTTTCCTAATACCAATGATACTTATACAAGAACAATGCAAATTAATTTTGTGCATTAATGATGCAATCAATTTCCATCAGATCAAAATGTAAATTTCAAGTGTTGCCATTTATGGCTATATAATGGTTCTGTTCATAAGAATCAGCACAGAGCAGATACCTGGGAAGTAGGTTAAGGTTGTTCCATTAGGCCAAGCTATTGTACTCTGACATCATTTCTAACAGCCACTATACTCCCTTCCCTTAGTGCCTTTTCTCCTGCCTTCTGGCTCAGTCAGTCACAGCAATGTCTCACAGACCCACAAATTGTACTTCCAGTTAACGAGTTTATTGGGGGAAGTGACATGTCATCCCTCAGAACCTTGATCCACTTGGAAGTTACAGGAACAACTCACGAAACAAGGTGAAGTCTTCAATCGGGACAGCTTCCAACCAAGATGGCAGTCAGTTCCCTCCTTGGCCATCTCCACAGGCAGGTCCTTCTCTCCAGCCCACGCCTGCCATCTCTCTGCCATCTCTCTGCCACTTCGCACCACCGTGTGTCACTTCAGACTCTTTTCAGGTCTTTGCTCCAGCTCTCTCTGAAAAAGCTCGATCAGGTAAGCTGATGAAAAGTATGACTACAAAATCATAGAAACCTTTATTTGAGGAAAGAACATCAAAACGTAAAGTTGCTTGGCATCTTCCATCGAGGGGCATACACTTCTGAGGGTGGTGATTCCGCCTCTCTCGTTCTGCCCCCAAGGGATTCTGTGCTATCTGATTTGCGTCATGTAAAAAATATTTTTGAGACACTCAAATAATATTCTTTTGAAATGTTCTTTGAGTTCTGGGAACAAAAGAAGTCTGAAAAGGCTGGACCGTGGCTGGAGGGGGGAGGGCTACGGTTCTCCCCCACCCCCAGCCCCCAGCCCAGTTTCTCAGAGGCCAGCCTTTGGTTTGCTCCGAGAATGAGCAGGGGCACCTCGTGATGGGAGAAAGTTCCACCATTCAACTTGTCCTGGACTTTTACTCACTAATACCTTCAACACTTGTTTGAAAACGTCTTCATAATCAGTTCCAGTGTCCTTCGAGAAAAATCTGTCAAGATTAACCCTTTAAAAATGAAACAAAATAAACAAAACAAACTCACTGCCATCTAGCTGATGCCAACCCATAGCAGTCCTACAGGAGGGGGCATAACTGCCTCTGTGAGATTCTCAGCGTGTAACTCTTTAGGGAGTAGAAGGCTTGTCTTTCTGCCACAAAGCAGCTGGTGCCTTCGAACTGCTGACTTTGCAGTGAGCAGCCCAGCTCTTAAGCACGACACCACCAGGGCTCCTCCCTGGAATGCCCCCAAAACAGCATCCATAACTTTCTGAACTAACCTCTCTCCCTTGAATGTAACCATTCCCCCAAATCCCTCAGAAACTGCTGTCTTGATTGCCCACTGCCCCTTTATGAAGGCAGCCCAATGAGAATGTAATCTCACTGAGAGGATGTCTAAAGCCATCTACGACCAAACAGACATGCTTCTACACATTCTGTAGCAATACTTCTTGGCTTACCCTTGGATAGCAAGCTCCTCACCAAGTCAAAGCTATCCTTCACCCAAGACCAAATCCAGTCCCTCAAAAGCCGAACCCCTCACTGCCATCCAGTTCATTCTAACCCACAGCGACACGATAGGACACAGTAGGACTGCCCCCTGCAACTTCTGAGGCAGCCAGAAAACAAAAACTTTGTTTTTTTCAGTTTTATTTGCACTTAATCCACATGACCTACAATTCAAGAATCCCATCATATCAAGGGGAGTTGTACAATCATCACCACATTCCGTTCTAGAACATCTTCTCCTTCCTTGTACTCATTGTTGTTCATGTAGTTATTTTTTTTGCTAATCGTGGCAAAAATACACACAACAAAACATTCTCCAATTCTGCAACATGTATAACCAGAGCCATTGAGATGGTAATGCTTTAGAGTAGTGGAAAACCTTGTGTTTCTCTCACAGAGTGACTAGTGGTTTTGAACTGCTGACATTGCAGCTAGCAGCCAAACACAAAACCACTATGCCAGTGGGGATCCAGCCCCACAGTAAACCCCAAATAACACATTTTACATAGTAAGCAACCAACCCCCTCAATTGTTTATATTGCTTATTTTTACAGTAGACTAACATCTCTTTAAATTGTGGCCCACCAAATATTTTGGCAGAATTATAACCCAAAGCCAGAAAGACCATGCAGAAAGGGAACCCCTGTACCCCAGCTTCCCTCCAGCATATTAACTAGCTTTGCATCTATTAGCAAAGCCACTTCAGAACACCTTTGACCAGCAGGTGTTATAAACCTCTGTTCCTCAAATTCTCCTTTGAATGGGTCTTAGCATTTTGATGGTTCCTCTCTTACTCAATGAGTTGAATTAAATCGCTGACACGTTTTCTATACACGTGAGTGTCTGGCTTTTAACTTTTTGAAAATTATTCCTGTGTACTCTGGAAACAAGAGTAGCTATGAAAAAAATAAGGCAGCATATAATGAATGGTAACTTATCAGTGTGGGTTTTAACGGGTCTGAGAGTGTCTGACTGGCTGTGTTCTTTCCATTGTTTCTGCATTTCTTTTCCTCGTCTACCAGGCAACCGTGCTCTGCCCTGGGGAGCGCCGAGGAAGAAATCACAAACACAAATGAAGCACAGCCCGATCCTAGAGTTCCTAATGCTCTAGTGTAGGAAAACAAATGGCCACGTAATGGCAACGGGAGCCTGAATGAATGGTACTTGAGAGCTTCCGATGTGTTTTCAGGCTTTATCTTTATTATTTTATTGAAGTGTACATTTTTTGTCAGAACCATGACTCTGAGGTTTTCATTCAAGCACGTAGAACTAACTAATTGCTCTCAAAGTTCTAAACAAAAATCGTTCCTTCCCCCCCACCCCCGTGCTGCAGAGAGTTACAGAGGATGGACTGCAAACACTGGTAACTATTGACACAGGTCAAGGTCAGGGCAACACTATTTGGCCAAGTCTGCTGTGGAAAGACAATGCTGAAGTTCAAAGGGGCTGGCCAACTAAATTTGCTTTTCCAGAAACCAGGCACTTTCTGAAACTGAGTTTTAAAACGGCAGCTCTTTTTCCTTGTGACTTGTGCAGTCCCTCCCAGCACCAACTTCCTTGCAGCTGGGTTTGGGTTTTGTTGGTTTGTTTTGTTTTTGTATGCGTGTGGTAGGATATATTTTTTCTCTTGCTTTTCATATTCTCCAGGGAAGGACAATCCGTAAAACGTCTTCTCTAAGGTGCGAAGTGGTTGCTGGTTTGGTCTTAGCGGAATCAGAAGATCTAGGAGGATTCAAACCAGGTGTCTGGGCGAGGTTCATTCCAGCCGGAGCCACAGAATTGACCCCTGATGTTTTTTCAGTTGGTGGGCTGGCTTGTGCTCGGGAGGCTGACTTTGGCTTCCGATGGGACGCACGCTTCTCTGCAGCCCAGCTGGCCAGGCGCTCTGCATTCGTCTGCGGGTGAGGAGGCATTCTTTCTCGAGTTGTAATGAGGTGACTTTTTCTCTATGGCAAAGTCTCAGATGTCTTGGCCTCAGTGTCTTACTTGGTAGGGACTTTACCAAGATTGAGTGATGACCATCCCACTCTCTCAAGTGGGTGATTGCCAAAAAAGAAAAAAAAAGGAAAAGAAATGCAATTTCAAAATGCTGAGGGGTCTTACATGTTGTAGACCCTAGGACTGCTCTTTGAGTCTCTGGGAAGGGGATTGTCTCTTAGGAGTGGATAGCTTGTGGTCTGATGCGAGTGGACAAGCTGTTATCCTTTTTAAAACAGAATGGTGAACTTGGAGTAAGGAATGGACGTGGACGTGGAAGAGTAGAAGAAGAAATCAGAATGAATAATTCAGCAAAAAAAGAAACGTGGATGGAGCTAGGTCACAGGGGCTTCCTCACTGCACCTGCTAAGTCAATGTGTTTTGTGTTTCCTTCCAGTGGAGAACTGTCCAGACCCCCCCTCAGTGGACAATAGCATTTTTGTTGCAGAGCAGGAGGAAGGGCAGCTCCTGGGGTCTTATTTTTGTCTCCAGGGCTACCATCTGGTAGGAAAGAGAACCATTCACTGCAATGCCTCTATGGTGTGGGATGCCCCCACTCCCACATGCCACTGTAAGTTTGATCTTCCGGCTTCTTTATCCACCTTGTCGTTCACTACATTCGATCACCTTCTGCCTCCAGTCGGCCATGTTACACTTCATAAGAGAAAATTCCTCAGTGTTTAGGAATTCATTTTTTCAGGCACCCAGTCACAGAATCCCTCAGCACTTCATCAGTCCTCATGTATGTGAATGAAGGCAGTCAGTGGTTCCTGTTAGAGGAGAGGGCTTTCCCCCACACGTTAAACCTCTTGGCTGCTGTTATAATTTAGGTGTGTGAGAGATTCTTGTTGAATCTCATATAATTTGTTTTTATATGTTATGTGAAATTTTGAACAGCTCTTAGACAGTATTAGTTTAACTTAATTAAAAGAATCAATCATTCCTATGGGAAAGAAAAAAATTTTCCCCCATATTCTGAACTTTTCTCTTGGCTATAGTTTAAGTGCACTTTCATTTTGTTGACTCCCATAACACTTAAAAACTTTTATATTCTAGGAAATTTCACACATAGAAAGTAGGCAAAAGGGTAAAATGAACTCACATATACTACCCTCCCAGCTGCAGCAATTGTTTCCTCTATGCTTTTTCTTATTTTTTTCAAAATTTATTTTAATAAAAAATTACCTTATTTTGTTTTAGGTAAAATTTACATAGCAAATTGAATTCCCACTTAAATGTTTTTTAATAAACAACTTATTCCTTGACATTGGTTACATTTTTCACAATGTGTCCGCATTCTCATGATGTCCATTCTTTATGCTCTGTTTCCATTGGGCTCCCTCCTGCTGCTCCAGAGCACTTGACCTCTGCTTTGGGTAGTGACTGGTTTCATGCAGTTGATGAGTTTAAGAAAGCCCAGTATTCACGAGTGATATTGCACAGAACCCAATCATTTATTTGAATGGAAGGTGAACACCTCATTCATTATTCTGTAGTAAATACATCATATTTTATTTCATCTATTACACAACTTTTGAACTGGGAGAAAACTGTGTTCTCAATTTACAAAGGTGACAACCAAGAACTGAGTGACTTGTTCAAGGTTGTAAAGCTCATTTGTGGTGTCCTCTGTCAGGCTGGAGAAGAAGTAGCCCGGGTCCTCTTTACCGCCAGCATATTTAACAATAACTGGACGAGGTCACCTTTGTACTTTCTCTTTTCTAGGATGAAACACGTGAATATTTTTATCCTCTATTCACATGACTAAATCCACATCCCTGTGAATTTTCTCCTGTTGTTTATTTATCGACCTACATCCTGGGTACAACAAAAGAAAGTCATACACATACGGCTCACGCAGGCTTTCTGTCATAGGTAGTAAGCGTTTTCTTGGTCATTTCTAGTTAATTACTCTTAGGAAATTCAATCACCAATTCATGTGATTGCCGTGCATGATTCCGAGCTTTGCCTCCATCCCTATGCCCACCTCATCTTTTCCTTGAGCTGCACTGATCCGGTCTGCACTATGTGCCTGTCCCCGTGCAAGATGGACCGCTATGGGCCTCGCTGTCCCTGCGGTGCTCTCACTACCGTTCTCACTGGGGCCGGCTGCAGCATGTCATTCTCAGAGTGCCACTTGTTTTCTTCTGCAGTGGGCCACTGTCCTGACCCTGTCCTCGGCAATGGCCAGTTTCGTTCCTTGGGGCCTGTGCATGTGAGCGACAACATCACATTCCAGTGTGAAGACAACTACATCCTTAAGGGCAGCAGCTGGAGCCAGTGTCTGGAAGACCATACCTGGGGGCCTCCCTTGCCCATCTGCAAAAGCAGTAAGTGCTTGAAGAGGAACAAGGGCCGATGCCAAAGACCCTGATTGGGAGCTGCTTCCTAGGCAGTTGCTGGCTCCCTGCCACTCGAGCTTTGTTTCTTAGGCTGCTGCAACAGAAATCCCACCAGGGAGTGGATTTAACCAACACACTCCTTTCTCACATTCCGGAGACTGACTTCAGGGAACCAGCTCTAAGGGCAGGCTTTCTCTGGCTGCTCTGAGAGCAACTCCTTGTCTCACTTCCATAGCATTCCTCTTGGCAGGAGCCCTGATGGCATAATGGGTTACAAGTTGCACTGTAGACCACAAGGCCAGTAGTTCAAAACCACTAGCTGCTCTTTGGGGAAAAGATGAGGTTTTCTAGTCCTGCAAAGAGCCACAGTCTCAGAAACCCACAGAATTGACTTGAAGGCAGTGAGCGCCTCTTTTTTGTTTTGTTTTTTTTAGTAACATAACAAATACAGTGAACCCTCATTTATCGCGGTTAATCGGTTCTAGACCCTACCGTGATAAATGAAATTCCGTGAAGTAGGGTTCCTTATTTGTAAATCAAATATTTTCGTAGTTAGAGCATGGAGGACATGAAAAAACACCCTTTAGTCATCATTACACTCATATTACCCAATTTATTAAACGAAAAAGGGAAAATACAGTAAAACATTTTGGACGTTACAATTATCATTTATTATTTATTATATTATTTATGGCATCAAGTTTACAGTATTATATATTTCACATACAGTATTATTATACATAGTTCTTACAAATGCTGTAATCAATAGCCTATGAAATGACTTAAGGGATGTACTCTACAGGTGGGTCGCCATCTTTTTCCTCTGAAGGAGCGGGTGTAGGTAGTGGGTGCTGTTACGCAAAAACCGCGATAGAGTGAAGCCGCAGAAGTCGAAGCGTGAAGTGGCGAGGGTTCACTGTAATGCCCTATTAGCAAATAGAGTTACAACTTCAGATATAGGGCTTAGGATTTATGTCACATATTTTTTGGGGGGAGTGCATAATACAACCCATAACAGACTCCTTTTTATCTTTTGTACCTGGGAAGGCACATGATCTCCCGGGAACTATCACCTCAAGTGATGTTTCCCAGGGAGACGAACCTCAACCCCGCATCTTTCTTTTCTCATCAGGCAGATTCTGCCCCACCAGGTCCAGTACTTTCTTCAAAATTTCAAGATAAGTGTTTTTAAGGTGTTTTTTTAAATACACAAAACAGGAAACAGAAACCATAACTCATCCATGAAAAAAAACACATATATTGTTGAAAACTCCCTCTTCCATGACTACAATTATTTAATTATCTCTTAATTACATGTTTCCACAAACTTTTTGAATTCCCTTCACACACATACACATGTGCATATGTGTGTGTGGATATACATATTTACGTTTTAAAATATATATCTGTATCAACATAACATTACAAATAAACACATCAAGTCGATTACTGAGAGGTGTGAATTGTAGCACTATTGTACATATATGAATGTATATATCTCCACAGCCATTGAGTTTATTCCATTTCAAAGCGATTGTATATAGGGTACCTGAGGCTGTATATCTTTCATGGGAGCAGACAGCCTCGTTTTTCTCCTGTGGGATTGCTGATGAGTTCAAACAGCCAACCTTGTGCTTAGTAGTCCAGCACTTAGCTGACACGCCCACACCAGGGCTCTCGACTTCTGCCTCTGCATTCAGACACATACATGTTTGTTTCACAATGGAACCTCACTATACATTTTCTTTTTAAGACAGTCAAATTCAGCAGTGGAGGACACTTTTTTTGAAAAAACTTTTTTTCCCATACAATATAAATAGGCATCTTTTCTAGACAGTACATGTAGTTCTATCTCTTGCTTTTTGTTGCTATTTTTGTTAATATTATTTATTTATTTATTTACTGAATTTTTAACTGTAAATTGGGTGAGGCTTATATTTCACACCATCAGTTATCTCTTGTTGCTTAGTGTCTGCCTAGGGATGCATCATAACTTATTCCACATCTTTCATATTCATAGGTATTCTACTTTAGTTCTCCATGGTGTTGCTATTACAAATAATGTGGCAGTTAATTTGACCAGGTAGCAATTTTTGTCTATGCTGTCATTTTTATAGAATAGCACCATTATTTAGAAAAGATATTGAAAAGATCCAGGATGATCCACTACAATTTTTAATATATAATTGTATACAAAACAAATATTGAACACAGTTTGACTTCATATAGATATTTATTAGTTGAATATTGAAATGTAAAAACAATTTCATCCAATAAAACTTATGTGAACATTTACTGAAGGATATATAACAACAAAAGGTTTGCTATGATCCTGAGTGAATATACTTAGTGTTACAAAGAGATTAATGCAATCCTTATCAGAATCTGACATTTAATAAAATGTGATAAATAAAAATTAGTTTTCAATCTTATTTGGAAGGCTATATAGGTGAACACTGCTTTTTTTATTTTGCCAAATAATTGGTAATATATATAGTTGACTGGACCAAAATGAGGAAACACGTCTCTATCAGATAGTAAACTATACTGTAAGGCTACTATAAGAAAAACAGCAGATCATAAGTTCTATAATTAATAGGGCATGAAAGTGGCAAAGTTGCTTTATTTCTCCATCGAATCAATTTATAGGCCCAGAGAGGCAGAACACTTTAAATCTGTGAGAAATGTCCATCTTCAATAGTAAGGAGAAAATTAATTATCTACTTAAAAGAACAGTGATAGTGCTAGCTTATCCCCAAAGCAATGCATTCTGAATTAATTTACATATGTAAATTTACAAAGCAGAATTATTCATTAGGAAAGAAAAAGATGAGAGAATTTGTTTAATATCTTGAGGTAAGATCAGGCCTTCGTAAGTTGTAACTTAGAAATGAGAGGTCACAAGGAAGAAAATGGACATTCTAAAATCAAAACGTCTCTCTGGCAAAAGCACAAACCCCAATCCAAGTTTACCTCTGTGGCGTCCAATCTGACTCAGTGACCCTGTGAGACAGAGTAGAGGCGCCCCGCAGTGTTTCCAACCCGTTGACACTACCGAACCCAAATCAGACTCGCTTCCTTCGCGTCAATGCTGACTCCCAATGACCCGAGAGGGCAGCACAGAACCGCCTTTGCTTGTTTCTGAGACGGCAGCTCTTTACAGGAATAGAAAACCTGCCTTTCTGCTGCAGAGTGACTGGTGGTTTTGAACTGCCGATCTTGCAGTCGGCAGCCCACTACGCCGCTGGGGCTCCATTACACCACCAGGGCTCCTCCTTTAGTAAAAGACATCATAAAAGTTAAGAGATACTTTGGTAAAAACGTTTGTAACCTAGCTGGTGGCTTAGGAGGGAATACACCCACTCCTCACCAGGGACTGTCTCCTTAAGAGCAATTTCACATTTGCATCATAGTGAAAACTCTGCTCTTCAACTATTGTGTGTTCCGTGGCAGAAAAGAATGCTGCGGTTTGAAGCTGTGGTTTGAGATGGGGGTGGCGGCAGTCGATGGGCAGCATGCCATGGGTGCTGTCCATGTTCCTACTGGCCCCATGGGTGCTGAGCATGCCCTGCCGGCCCCTAGCGACTCCTGGTTAGGAAGAGAGCTGAGGATGACAGGCATCTTTTGTGCCCCATAGTTCGTGGAGAAAACAGACTGAAAATTCGTGTTTCCTAATCCGTTGCCTAACTCTCCAGAATTCTATACAGACTCCTCTCCCTCTCTCCCTGTTGTGTTCTTTTTATCGAGAACCAAGAGAACCACAACTCAGTTTTGCAAGCTGTGTCAGCATCTCTTCTGAGCTTACATCTCTCTCTCTTGCCTCAGGGAGTTACTTCTTCAGCCTCTACGTTTACTCTCATCTGTTTTATTTTCTGGGACAGCGAAAATTAGCATCTCTACAACTTCAATGCCCTTTCCTTAAGCTCCAGCCAGTCGGAAGGTACTACCAAATCCCTAATGACTTAGAGGATAAGCCGGGTAGGAGAGGAATCTTTCACATAAATAAATATGATTTAGAGGAGAAACAGATCATTAGAGAACCCAGCCCCCAGTTCTTTATGGTCTGCTATCAGGGAGTCTGGTGCTGGCGTAGACAGTTGCAGGGAGTGAGCACGGAATATTGCATTTAACTGGCCTTCAGGCTTCAGCCACTTGTGTCTTCCTGTCTCTCAGGAGACTGTGGCCCTCCTGGGAATCCAGCCCATGGCTATTTTGAAGGAAATGATTTCAACTCAGGATCGAATATCACTTACTACTGTGATGAGAGGTAAGTGTATGCAGCCATTAGAATATGACATCTCGCCGATTGGGTAGCAGCTTATTTGGGGGAACGATCTGATCTTTTTCAAGCAAAGTGCTTGATTGCCTACAGCTCCAGGATCCTGAGCTCCCTCTGAGCTTGAGAGCTATGGGGGAAAGACGGGCCTTTCTACTCCCATAAAGAGTTACCATCTCAGAAACCCACAGGGGCAGTTCTACCCTGCCACACAGGGTTGCTGTGAGTCAGCATCAACTCGATGGCAGTGAGTTTTTTGGTTTGCTTTTGTTTTCAGCCCACTTATAACTCTTCCGAGTCCTTACAAGGCTCCTCCTGCTTATCCCAGTACGTGTATGACTTTTCCCCTGTAGTTTAGATCAATAAAGTTAAAGTATGAAAAATGATTATTTTTCTTAAGATCTGCAGATCAATAAACTGACAGAAAAACAGAACACACAGAAGTGAAGAAATAGAAGGAGCTAGAGTACAGATCTTTAAGGCATCCTGATTAAAGTATTAAAACAACAAAAACAAATGAAACCCACTGCTATCCAGCCAATTCTGAGTCATAGCAACTCTATAGAGTTTCTGAAATGGTAAGTCTTTACATGGTCAGATAGCCTCATCTTCTGCACCGGTGGGTTTGAATCACCAACCTTGTGACTAGCAATCATATTGGACAGCACCACTAGGACTTTGGATCAGTTATTTCTAGTTCAATTATGGCTGACTAAACAAAAGTAGGGTAGATCAGAATTTGCAAAAAAAATGTGGGTACGTGGAATGGTAAACAGAAAAGGAAAAATCAGGGGGTGTAGCCTCGGAATGGGAGATTCAGAAGAGGCACGGTAAACCCTTTTAAGAGCCTGATGTAGGAAACGGGATTATTTCGAGGACTGTGGAGAAAGACACACCTTAGAAGTGGCTGCCATGCGGAGTTGCTCAGCATCGCCTCCCACTCTGTGAATCCAGAGATCTGGTTGCTAAGCAGGGGGCAGACTGCCCTTGTTTTCCTACAGGGAGATTAAGTTTCTAGCAGGGTACTGACTTGTGATTCTTCCCATTCCAAACAGTCCTATTTTGCCAGTTCTAATCCACTCCAGTTTCACTTTGTACACCATGACTGAACCCGGAAGAATCCATTTGAAGTCCTGAGTTAGATTGTCTGATCACCAAATAAGAAGTTTTGGGTGGTGCAAAGGGCTAAGCTCTCAACTACTACCCCCAAATTTGTCATTTCAAACCCAGCCGGAGGCCCCGACTAAATGTTTCGGAATGGTCTCAGGCGTGAAAATGATAGGGCGCAGGTTTTGTCTGCCGCACCTGGGGTCACCAGGAGCCAGGACTGACTTGATGGCAGTGGCTTGTCTGGTCACCTGTGAGACAGATCACCCAGACTGCCCCCCTCCCGCCCTTGACTGAGTCTTATTAACAATGAGGCATGTGACCCCATTGGAGTTATCATCTCATGTTATTCCTCTATTGGACTTCATGGCAAATGTGTACGGTTTTTCTAATTTAAATCTACTCTCCCCATTTGGTCTGTTCACTGAGATTTATTTGAGGAATGACCCTAAATTCCGGTTCCTGTTTAAAACATAGATGACCGATAGGAGTGCTTTTTAAGGTTATTGAGGAATTACCTTAAAAAGCGTCTTCTCTTACCCTTCCCACCCAAGGCTTTGCCCATACAGGCTCATCATCTCTGAGCTCTCTGTGTTGTGTGGGTAAACTCATTACTCGGCTCTCCCCACCTCCGTGCCTGGAGAGTGGCTTTACTATATAGTTGTTGGGTGAGGCTAGGAGAACTTAACGGTGCATTACGGCTACATAAAATTCGGGATGGTTGTCTCATTCCAAAGTGGGAAGGCTAAGTGTAGTGACATCTAATTCCTATCCAGGTACTCCTTGGTGGGCACCCGGCATCAGCAGTGTGTGGACGGGGAGTGGAGCAGCGATCTTCCATTCTGCCAACAAGTCCCACAGACCGAGCTTGAGAAAGCCCTCGTAAGTAGTGTGCTCATGACTGTCTTATTCCCGGCGGTGTCTCCAGGCTTGCTCTTATTGCTGGTAAATGCTCAATACGTATTCAACTTGGAATAATCTTTCTGAACAGGTTGATGGGGCTTGATTTGTCTGAAAAACGGAGCTGATGAACTAGGAGATTGTAATGAAGTTGCTATTTGCCACCACTGTCACCAATGCATGATAAATCTCTGTTGATACAAAGTGTCATCTTCTGTTCCCAGTATAGGAAGAGAAAGTGCATGAACTCAATGTCTGAGTCGTGGAAGTACTGCTCTATAGTCTCTAAAATCTGTCTAGACTTGAAGAGAATGCTGAGCATTGAGGCGATTCTTTGGGTTTATATTTTATTCAGGAGCACTACTTAAAATATACATATAGTTTGGCTCTGCCATTAAAATGATTTGTTATATTGAAGATCTAAATTCTTACTTCAACTCTTTATCTGGACCTCTATTCAGAGATCTAATTGCTATATGCTCAGAATTTATAACTGAGCTTATAGGTGGGTGTCAGTTATGAAGTCGTGACTTAAAAAAATTTTTTTCCGCCCTCTCTTCAGCTTGCCTTTCAGGAAGGTAAGGATCTTTGTCAAGCCACAAAGGACTTCCTGCAAAGATTAAAGGAAAGTGGCCTCATAATGGAGGAAATAAAATGTGCCCTGGAGATGAAAAAAGCTGAATTGGAAGTAAAAAGGTGGCTTTAATATTGTAGCAGAGCAGTGTGGGGAATAGAAGGTGACCCATGAAGAAACTTTCTTCTTGATTCTAAAATTGACATCAGATTTATATCTCATTTTGCTAAAATAAAACTTCACTTGAACCAAATGCAATTGTATAATGCACTCTGTGTATGTGTGTGTGTGTTTATTGTTGCACTTAGAGTATAGACAGGCCAAGTGTGGTGGTTGTCTGCTTAAGGCCAGGACCAGCTATACATTAATAGGGAATGAAGGGTTTTAGCTCCTGTTTGTAGGGAGAACTGGGAAGGTTTGAACTCAGCTCAGAATGTACCTTACTTTTTTTTTCTTTTGAAAATAATTTTATTGGGGGCTCATACAATTCTTATCACAATCCATCCATCCATCCATACGTCAAGCACATTTGTACGTTTGTTGTCCTCATCATTCTCAAAACATTTTCTTTTTACCTGAGCCCTTGGTATCCGATCTTCATTTTCCCCTCTCCCTCCTTACTCCCCCCTCCCTCATGAACCCTTGATAATTTATAAATTATTATTTTCTCTTATCTTACACTGTCCGATGTCTCCCTTCATCTACTTTTCTGTTATCTGTCCCCTATGGAGGAGGCTATATGTAGATCCTTGTTGTACCTTACAATTTAACATGAGACGCATAATAAAAGCAAAAATTAACCTCGATTGAAAAATAGGAACAAAAATGAACCTCTCATTTTAAGAAAATAACAAAGGAACTATCCTCAAAATGGCCCACTGAGACAGAAGTAGTTAGCATTAGAAAACAAACTGTCTCTTGGGTTCTCCTTGTTTCTTGTTTATGAACCAGGTTTCCAAATCTTCTGCAGTGATATTGCTGCCTTTTGGATGAATTAAATCTGAGATGGTAGATTTGAGGCGGTGCAATACCTGTGAATATATTTTTTCTTGTTTTTTAGAGGACAGCGGAAGTAAGAATCCTAAGACTTTCTGTTAATATGCATGGCTGAGCTCACATAGCAAGGTACTTCTATCTCTCACCTTGACCTACATGAAGTTCTAGAGGAAAGATACACAAACACCTTGAAAGAACAGAAGCACCTCAGGTGAACTAGCTGCAAAGGAGACTCAACGATGGACCGTGTCCTCAAGTAGTCCACAGTCTGTTATTAGACACCTCACACACAACGTTGTTTCAGGGTGGTCACATGAACTAGGTACACTTTAGAGAACAGGTTCTGGGAGTGCAGATAAGAGGTAGGTCATTTCATTGTGGGAGAAGGAGGCAGAAATATCTTCAAGGCAGAGGTTCTCATTATTTGAGCCTTCAAAAGAAAGCATAATTTTGAGATAAAGATTAGGGAGGAAGATATTCTTGGTGGAGAGAATGTTTGGGAAATGGAGGGTCATCAACTTTTTAACCAAATGAATAATTGAATGATAATAATTTACTCCAATATCATTGGAGTAAAAAAATTGATTTGACATTCTTCATATTTAAATATTGTCTAAACAAGCAAGACTTTTGGGTCACTTAAATGTTCGATCTTAAGGAATTTAAAAATGAATTTTGATATATCAGAAACAATACAACCATTTATAGTGATGATTATGAAGAAAGAGAAAATATTAGTTACAATCTTATGTGAAAATATAATACAGAATCATAGATACTTGTAACTGTATATATGTAAGACATTTATTCTTGTGGAATAAAAGAGATTCATTCCTTTGCGTCTCTCAGCTAAAACGAGTTGTCTTAGAATAGTGAAATTGCATGTGCTTGCTCCTTTTAATTTCTTTAATGCTTTTAAATGAGCAGTTAATGAAATTTAAAAAGAAGAGGAAGTACACACTGAAAGCCTGGACAGATGGAATGTGTCTCTGAAAAGACAGAGGCAGGCCACATGGCATGTGGAGGGCATAGCATATCGTCTGGAGGGCCTGAATGAACATGGTAAGTGGTGGGAGAGAAGACTGGAGAGATGAGTTAAAGTCAGTTGATGGAGAGTCCTGAATGGGATATTAAAATAATTTTAACTTTATTTGGTAGTAAGTAAGTTGACATGGAAGACTTTCAAGCAAGGTAATGATAGGATAGTTTCTAATCAAATAGTATGTTGGTCGGTCTCCAATCAGAAACAAAACCAAACCAAACCCAAACTCAGTGCTATTGAGTCGAGTCTTATTTCCACTAACCTTCTGCTTTACCAAACCTGATGTCCTTTGACAGGGTCTACTTTCTCCTAATGATATATCCAAAGAATGTGAGATGGGGTCTCAGCAGCCTTGCTTTTATGGAGCATCCTGGTTGTACTTCCAGGACAGATTTGTTTGTTTGTCTGGCAGTCCATGGTACTCTCAGTAATCTTCAATAGTCAAGGTGGTACAAATGGTATACATTCTCCTGCTAGCCTAAAGGTTGGTATTCAAATCCACCCCAGGGCTCCTGGCTTTAATCTTTATGGGATCAGACCATTCAATCTTTTCTCCCATGGAGTAGCTGGTGGATTTGAACTGCCAGCCTTTCAGTCGACAGCCAAGTACTTAGTCATTGTGCCACCAGGGCTCCTTGGTTTTTCTTCGAGGATGTGGTTAAGTCCATGAGAGTAGGGAGATAGTTAAAGGTGTGAAGAAAACGATTCAAAGAAGGACTGGGATCTGCATGCCTGCAGATGAAAGGAAGAAGTGGAGATAAAAACAATTAGGAAAGAAAATTAGCCCCCAATAAAAGTATTTTTTAAAAATAATAAAAATTTAAAAATACAGATCTACCTATGGGGGGATAAGTCAAAAAGTATTGCTATGAAATCATAGAAATCTTCATTAAACTAAAATATAAAATTTTTAAAAGAAAATTAGAATAACAATTTGCAAAGTTGAGCGTAATGGAAGACCATAAGGTTTCGGAAGCTAACTGATCAGCACAGTCAAATGTGGCAGAGAAATCAGAAGAGCTGACGTAAACAAAATTTGCACTTGGAGATAATTGCATGTTTTCAGAAGAGTGTGTCCGAAGAAGCGTGGGTAGCTAGATCGGAGAGAGCCAGGAGAACAAGAGGGAGTGATTCGTGAGGAAGAGTGGGCAGGAAGCATGGTCTAGGCTTTTGCAAACTTTGGCATCTCCCAAAAGTTGAAAAAGGGAACTCCAGGGTGTGGCAAGATTGAGGGAACATTTCCAGGTGGGAGGCACATTGCACATGGGGTAGGAAGAGAAGAAATCTCCTCTGAACCAGGAGGGAGTGATGAGAGGAAGTCTGAACAGAGGCTTATATAGCATAGGGTAGTCAAGTCAAGAGGAAAGATCCTCTACTAAAAATAAGACAGTTTGGTGAACCGGAGAGACAATATGGAACAGTCAATGGGAAAGGCCACGGGCAGGACATCGGTGGACGGGGAAGTGGTATTTTGAAGACCCAACTTTAGCAGTGACATTTCCTTCCGCTTAGTTCTCTGAACTGGACTGTCCCCTGTGTTCCCTGCAGTCAAATCAGTCTCTCTCCCTGGTGACCTACCGCATGTTCTCACAACCTCTACCCCCCATTTGACGTTCAGTCCAAATCACACATCTTCGGTCAAAGCCACGTTGATGATTTCAGCCCTCTGGAGTTCCACCCTTTGCTTTCTGTCACCTTTATAGGTTTACCCTAAACCTTTCTACAGAAACACCTAACAAGGAATTTCACTGGGCAAAGCTGCTGCTGTGAAACACTCTCTTTAAAGTATTGAAAAGCAAAAATGCCACTTTGAAGATAAGGTGTGCTTGATTAAGCCAGAGAATTTTCCATTGCTTCATAGGCTTGTGAACTTTGGACAAGAAATAAGGAAGGCCGCCGAAGAATTGAAGTCCTTGGATTGCGGTGCTGGTGAAGAACGTGGAAAGTACCACGGATTACCAGACGGACAAACAAATCCGCCTTGCACACAATACAGCTGGAATGTCCCTTACAAGGGCGGATGGTGAAACTCCACTTCAGCTTCTGGGGACATAGTATCAGAAAAGACTAGTCCTCGGAAAATGTCATCCTGCTTGATAAAGTAGAGGGGCAGCAAAAAAGAAAACCCTTACCAAGACAGATTGATACAGTTGATGTAACAAGGAGGGTGGTATGAGTCAGGACAGACTCGATGGCCCCTAACAGCAGCAATAACAACCTCAGGATGACTAACTCATTGAGAGAGGTCAGCGATTGGGCTCCTTCTTACATCTATAGGATAACAAACATGACCGATACTTCATTAGATTTTTCTGAAGAGTGCTCACCGCTAGACGGATGTCTGGGGTCATTCAGCGCCTGCGTGTAATAGCGGTGTTGTTGGTGGTGTTGTGTTAGTGGTCATCAAGTTGTCTCTGACCCATAACCACCCCATGTACAACCTACTGAGATCTCTCAGCCCTGTGCTGCCTTCACACTTTTCACGGCCTTCCACCTCAGGTGCATCGTCCAGCACTGTATCAAATGGTATTTGTTGTAAGGTTTTCTCTGACTAATATTTGGAAATTTATCTTCAGGCCTTTCTTCCTAACCTATCTTAGTCTGATAGCTCAGCTGAAACATGCCCCATCATGAGTGACTCTGCTGGTATTTGAACTATCAGTGGCACACTCAAACCATGAAAGCAACTCTGAAACCCCCACAGTGGGACACACGGAAAGACAGATGCTGGCTGGTGATGGTTGTTGATGTTCATTGAGTACGGAATATGCTACACAGGAGAAGGATGAGATCTTCTACTCCGGTAAAGAATTACAGTCGCAGTGATTCTGACCCCCTGG